TGAATAGGAGTATGATAAGAGGCAAGCAATAATATGGCTCAGAAAATTTGCTAAGTTTCCTCAGCTTGCTAAACAATCCTTTCTATATAGCTATCTTATAAGTAACTAGGGAAAAAGGGGTATCTCCTCGCCAATCTTCTGGATGCCAATATAATAGAGAAAGCAAAGATCTATGGTCCTGCAGTGTTATCCAAAGCTCCCTTTCTCCCTGGAGCTGCTTTGCAACTGGGAAGATTCAGAGCTGGCAGAAATCTGACTGCCTGCATGGAGCACCAACTTGTCTCTGCATCAAAGTGGTATCTATTTATCTATTGTATTTTTCGGAGTATAAGACAGACTTTTTTTCCTCAAAAAAGAGGCTGAAAATCTGAGTACGTCTTATACATCTAATACATTTTTTGCCTCCCAAAGCCTCACGCCTTCACCAAAATGTCGTGCATAGCTTGTAGGAGGCTTTCAGAGAGCTCCTAGGGGCTGGGGAAGGTAGAAATGAGCAAAAAAGGGTTGTTTTTTGTTCAATTTTGCCTCCCGCCCCAGCTCCCAGAAGCACTCTATAAGCCTCCATAAGGCTATGCATGCAATTTTCTTGACAAAAAATGGACCCGTTTCTGCTCATTTTTGACCCCTTCAACCCCCCAGGAGCATTCTGCAAGCCCCCCAAAGGCTATTCATGCCTTTTTTTTAAAAAAATGGGCCTATTTTCACATAAAACGGGCCATTTTTGGGAGGTTTGCAGAGTGCAAAAACTCCCCCCCCTTCGGAAAGCTCTTTAGTTAGAGTGATTGGTGAGAATTAGATTGATCAAGTGCTGTGCCACCAGAAACAAAGTCTTAGGTGCTGCAGATTGTCAGTGATTTCCTTCTTCAGCACATGGATAAATACATCTGGCAACATCTACCTACCTACTTACCTACCTATCCTCTCTCTCTCCCTACCTACTGCATTTCTCACTCTCTCTCTGTCTCTATCCCTCTATCTACCTACCTATTCTCTCTCCCTAACTACCTACTGTATTTATGTCTCTCCCCCTCTACCTACGTACCTACCTGCCCTCTTTCTACCTATTGTATTTCTCTATCTCTATTTCTCTCTCTCTCTCCCTACCTACTGTATTTCTCTCTCCTCTCTCTCTCTCTATCCCTCTACCTACCTATCCACTTTTTAAAAATTTGCCTCTTCAAAACCTTGGTGCGTCTTATACTCCAGTGCATCTTATACTCTGAAAAATATGGTATTCACATAGAACATGCTTTCGAACTGCTAGGTAGGCAGAAACTGAGGCATGTGATGGGAGCTCAACCTAGCACACAGTGCTAGGACTTCAACCGATGGAGAGAGCTCATCTTCAGCATCATTAAGTTACTGTGCCTCTAATGGGATGCCATTCATTTCTGAGGACAAAGCAATAACAGAAACTGTGCTTTATTATTATAATTTCAATTGTCTGGGATTGCTAAGTATTGTACCAATATTCTTTATGACTGAATTAAAGCACTTGGGTCAATGTAAGGTGGAGACAAGCCATGCATTCATTTCAGTGGGACTCAACCAGTCATTGTTTTCATAGCTCCTCTGGTTTCTTATGGGTTTTCATATCCATGGCTCCATTTACTGCCTGTAATGAGTATTAAGTTTTAGTAATATCCTTTCCTTTTCACCAATCTCATGGTTCAGACTTGGCCCCTACAAAGCCATAGGGAAGATTTAGGGGAAAAAAGTGTTCAATCCAGTGGTGGGTTCCAGATCCCGTTGCAAACGGTACGGTGCAACAGGGCCGGGTGTCCACATGAATGCACGCAGCACGCGTGCACAGCATATGCCTTCGTACTTAACGCCCGCGATGCCTCTGCGATGTTCGAGCTGCTCGGTGGAGCGTCGCACAGGTGCTGTACGCTCTGCATGTATGTGGAAGCCCTAAACAGCTCAAATACAGGTAAGGAGCGTGGGAAGGCAGGCGGGCCCTCTGGAGCACCGTAACGGAATGGTTCCTGCTCCCAGCAGGCACCAGTAAGCCGGTCATATCCCACCACTGGTTGAATCTTAAGAGAGCAATGCTCTTGGGTTTTTTTTTAATGGGCAGTTCAGCTAGCCACTGAATGTCTCATTTCTCCCATGATTCTGATCCAAAATTTAGCTTCCAGGCAAATAAAAACTACTTTTTTGAAATTTTGAAAGCCAATGATTTGTTAAGGTACAAACTTTGAATAGTACCTTAGCAGGAATATGAAACATGGCTCCAAATTAAACACATTCTCATAAGTCCTGAATTTACAAACGTTTTTACAAACGTTGAATTTACAAATGTTTGTGAGCAACACAAACTCCACCTTTTGGGATTCCACATTTGTTTCTCTGCATGAAAAAATGCAAACAGGAAAGGTCTCTTTAAATCAGGGCCCCCCGTCCAGGATGCAGATTACGATTACGCAATTTTAGAGACTAGATTCCTAACCCAGAGCCTCGAAAGTCTGAATGTCCACGGGTTTGTTTTTTTTATTCCCAACTCTGTCCAGTTCCATCTGGAAGACGCCACCACCAATCATCCGAGAGGCGCGCTGTCACAAATTGAGCCTCGGCACGCCTCGTAGTCAGGTGATCGGAGC